TTTTTAAAAAGAGTTAGTCTCAGAAACTCACAGGGAAAGTTCTGCTGTGTCCTATAGGGTCTCCGTGAGTGCTCATTGACACGATGGCAGTGAGTATGTTCATGCAAGCAGCAGTTAGAATGCAGCACTGGGTTAGTGCTGCATAAGTCCTCCTTAGAATGCCGAAGAGCAAGGACGTCGCTTTGAGGGTTGAGGTGCAAGTGACTGAATCCAAAATGTGTTTAGTGTGAAAGGGGGACCGTGAGCAAAGAACACTGCGGAAGAACTGATGTGTTCGAATCATGGTGTTGGTAAAGAATATTGACAGTACCACGGGCCAAAGAAGAACAAAGGAATCCGTCTTGGAAGAAATGCAGCCAGAATGCTCCTGAGAGGCAAGGGCGGAGAGACTTCATGCATCTCGGGCATGTTGACAGGAGTGATCACCAGCCCTTGAAAAGGACAGCATGCTTGGTAAAGTGCAGGGGCACTGACACGGGCAGGCCCTCCGCCCAATGGGAGAGGCACCGTGCCTGCAGCAGTGGGCTCAGACACAGCAGTTGTGCGGATGGCGCAGGACTGGGCAGTGTTTCTCTGGGTTGTACACGGGGCCCTATGGGTGAGTACCATCTGATGGAACCTAACAACGACAACAAGGACCACCAGAAGTCCACCCAGCATGCCAGCCAATCAGAACTGAGGATGGCAAGACTGCCCCCACACACTTAGAAAAAGTCATCAGGGGGACAGTCCCTGGAGAAGGTCTGTGAACAAGATGAACTGACTCAGTGGCAATGGCTGGGAGGACGCGCAGGACTGGGCAGTGCTTCGTTTTGTTGTACACACATCGCTGTGTGTCAGAACCCAAGGTTCCGGTCTCAGCCCCCCTCCCCTATTACATGCCTCGGAATAGTCCCGTTTGCAAATAGCTCCGAGTGAGCCGAGAGTCTGAGGAGCGGGAGAGTGGCCTCTCTTGACAGAGACGGGGGAGTGAGACGTGTGTAGAGGTGGGTACGATGACGGGAGTCCCTGCTGCGGCCTGTCAGGGTCCGGCAGGCAGGGGTGTATATACAGCCATGTCCTGACTGAGGTTTCTCCTGGGCCATTGCCCTGGGCAGGCGTCCTGAGGAGAACAGAAGGGTGGTTTCATCGCCATCCTTCTGGAAACCATTTGTCCTCCAAGTGCTCCGTTTCAAAGGGTCCCGATCAAGAGATCCAGTTCCCTGAGAAAGCCCTTCATCGGGAGGAAATGTGACACTCGAGCCTGACACTGGAACGTGGTAACAGAGCCGCCTCGGCCCTGCAGTTCTCTGCAGGCGTCCCGCCCCCAGGCCCACCGGGCCCCCTCTCCTCCCCTCCACTCCAGAAGTCCCAGCATTCACACCTTCTCGCTGAAATGCCACTTAGCTAAGGGGGGGTTCATACTCTAGGGCCAGCCAGACCCTGTGTGGGGGTGCCATCTGGAATGACTCTGGATTGGGGAATCTGAAAGACTTGCCCATTGGGGAATCTCCCTCTGTCCCCTTGTCTATGGATGTACAGACACCGTGATCCCTTCCCTCTAGGCCGAGCATGCGCTCACTGCACACACACACACACACCCGCCCCACGGCCTCTGTCTGGGTGTTCTCGGAACCTGCTTGCAGCTGCATAGTGAAGAAAGCTTTCTCAACCAGAGAAAACAAGTAACAAAGTAGCATGCTCCCGCGTCAAACAATATTGTCATTATCTGGCCTAATTCATGATCTCCGGGTTTAACCCGTTCCAGGTGCATTGAGTTTCTGCTGTGCAAGGCACTCTGGGAGGTTTCCAACCTGGGAGGAGCCTGAGGGCTGGCCTTGTGTCCCAGAGGTTGGCATGCCAGTAAGTGATTGCCGCGTGGCTTGTGCTAGGATGTCGCCCAGGACTGGTTTACACTGGTTGGGACTTCCCACACCTCCTCTGAGGCTTCCATTCTGCCTGGTGCCACAGGCTTGAACGGTGCCAAGGGGTCTAACTGCAGAGTTCTCTGGAGTGCCTGCAGCCAACCAGCCACTTGCTTCTTCTTGGTCGCTCGCTGACTCACTCGCTAACTGCCATCGGGTTGATGCCAACTCATAAGGACCCTCCAGTCCAGAATAGAACTGCTCCTGTGGGTTTCCGAACTTGTAGCTCTCTTTTTTTTTTCCTTTCATTTTACTGAGAGCTCTTATAATTCTTATTGAGGTGGTAGCTCTTTACAGGAACAGATAGCCTCATCTTTCTCCCACAGAGCAGCTGGTGTGCTTGATCTGCTGACCTTGTGGTGCGCATCCCAATGTGTAACCCACTAATCCATGCCCAACCAGACACAAATCATTCTTTCTCAGAGGGACTGTTCTATGGTTGATATAAATAGGGTTCACTGCTGAAAATATCATGATCTAGGCTTTGTTATTCCATGCCCCATGCTGGAAGCTGTCAGTTTATGTATTAATTTTCACATTTCAAGATGCATAGGCCTGGGCAGCAGCATAATTATGTAGACCATGGTGGGGGTTGGGTGCCGCCCAGGTGCTTGGACTCCCGAGGACCCTGAGGGGGACTAGTTCAGAGCCAGCCCTGGCTGCCTTCACAGCAGGGGGTTTCCAGGCCTCCCCCCACAGGGCTGCTGTGGTAGCCTGGGGTCCTGGAAGGACAAGGTACCACCAGGAGGATTTGCCTGGTGGCACACGTCTTTTACTCCGTTGTCCTTTATTTCCTTTCATTCTGTTGTTCCCAGTCAAATCCTTGTCCCCTGTCTGTGTTAGGCATGAGAGCACTGGACCTTTCAACCGCAGAGCCCACACTCTCTGCCCGAGTCGATGCCAACTCACAGGGGCCTAGAGGACAGACAGGACGGAGCTGCCCCTGTGGCTGTAACTCTACGGTTTCCAACTGCTGGCCTCGTAGTTAGCAACCTGACATGTAACCCACTACATGGCGATGTGTAAATAAAACTGCTTTTACAGCCACTTAACCCAAAGCATTGGGCAGACTTTAAAGCAAACCCAGATATCTGATTATTGTGTGTGACAGGTCTTTAGCCCCCTTTCTGCCTCAGTTAGTTGTGTATGGTTTTGTTTTAATTGAGAGAAATGAGAGGTTCACTTTCATTACTGCCTTGTGGGGTATATTTGTTTAAAATTTACCAAAATAATGAAGCTAAAATAAATAATTCTCATGAGAGACTATAGCTGATGAGAGCTGGAAAAGACGTGTGTGTGGAATGTCCACTGTTGGCGCTACCGCGTGACTGTGGTGGAGAAAGGCCAGGTGTCTGTTCCCATCGAAGGTCACAGCCTCAGAACCACAGGGCAGCTCTGCTCTGTCCTGCAGGCTCGCTGTCTGTGAGTTGGGATCGCGTCTGTCCGTGGCAGTGGGACTGGCTATGGCTTAGAGTTGAGTGCTTAGGAGGCATGCACCCCAGCACAAGCAGCCTGTCGTCAGCACACACTTTCTCCGCTAGTTTAAAATGCACGCTATGCTGTAGTGTTCTCATGCAATGTGTTCGTTGTCCATGAAGCAGCAGTCAAGAAATCAGACATGTTCCTTGTCCAAATCTGCTGCACAAGACCTGCTTAGAGTATGGAAAAGCCAGGATATCACTTTGAGGTCTAAGGTGTGCCTCACCTGAGCCACAGTGTGTTCAATAGCCGCACATGCAGGTGAAAGTTGTGTTCTAAACAGCATCATTGCACCGATGTCCTTGGTCTTTCTGTTCTGGTCTACTTTACGTGCATTTGCTGGCCTTAGCGTTCCGTTCATATGCCAGCCGCCCTTTAAAACCCAAGACCACTGAACTCTCTGCCATCCTCAAGGGCAGGGTGGAACTGCCCTGCGAGTTTCTGACACAGCACCTCTTTGTGGGGATAGAGAGCTTTGTCTTTCTCCCTGGGAGCGGCAGCTGGTGGTTTCAAACTGCTGACTGTCGATCTTAGCCCAACAAGGAACCACTCTGCCGCAGAGCACCTGGCCTTCCCTTAAAGAGGAGGCAAAAGATCCTCCTTGCTCTCAGGGTTCCCCCTCGGCAGTTACAGCACTACCATGGGCTCCATCAATATTGTTTCTCAGGGTCCCTCAGCTGGCTCGGCATCCTGTTCTTGCTGGGCGCACAGTTCCCCAACGTGTGCAGTGGTCTCTGCTGTGTGCACGCTAACTCCCTTTTCTCTGTAACTACCATTTCTTCCCCCAAACTTTCCAAGAGAAGTGACGTCCCTTCTGTCAGCCCCACTCCCCACCCCCTGGCTCCTTCCTTCTCTGTAGGCACTTGAGGCTGGTCCGGGGCTCTTCTTCGTCCCCTGCTCTCTTTCAGGTGGGCCGTATCTTCCCCACCTTCGCCCACTTCCTTCTTCACCTCTTCTGCCCATGTGCATCTCAGTGGTCGCTGTATGACGCAACCTGCTGAGACGACTCCCTTAGCATCACCAAGACGCTGTTCCCTCATGGGTCCTACCCACAGATAGCATTCCAACACATGTGTGGGTGACGCGATTTAAGCCGTGACACCCGACCTCGGACATTGTATAAGCGGCTGTCCTCCCCAGGGTCTCCACCACTGTCCCCATCTGTATCCTCAATACTGTCCCTGTCTGCATCCTATAACTTTCAGTCATTTGGGATGTAACAAAAACCCCAGAACATATCACTTCTAAACAACCTAATGGATCGTCCATATTTCTAACTTTCCATTTGACAATCACAATGAAAAGTCCTCGTACTCGGGACTGAAGCTTGTCACCCTTTCATACCCCTAGACCCTTCCAGAAGCTCGGTGCCCCCAAGCACCCACAGTCCCTGCAGAGCCTCAGAGGACCAGCCCCCAGCCCTTACCTCAACCCACCGCCCCGCCCCATGTGTCCGAATTCTTCTAGGAACTCAAGCGTCTTTCTAACCGCAAGCCAGAGGGTATGGCCTCTAAACCCCGAGGAAGGGGATAGACATCGGCCTGGAGCCCACGGGTGCCGCAGTGCTGCCCCTGGCCCACCCGCCCGCTCACCTCGCTCTCTGTGCTCTGTCTGCAGGAGTGGCAGAACTCGATTCAGAAGAACGCAGGGCTGGCCTTCATCGAGCTCATCAACGAAGGAAGGTAATGTAGCCCCAGCACAGAGACGGTCGCCTGGTGTGAGCTGCCCCTCTTAGCTGTCTGTCTGTGTCCACCCCCTCCCCGCAGAGCCTCAGCTGGAAATTCAGTTTGTTTCTTTTCTTTTTTTTTATCGTTTTATTGGGGGCTCAAACAACTCTTATTACAATCTGTACATCCATTCATTGTGTCAAGCACCTGTATACATTTGTTTCCATCTTCATTCTCAAAACATTTTCTTTTTACTTGAGCCCTTGGTATCAGCTCCTCATTTTCCCCTCCCTCAAAAACCCTTGATAATTTATAAATCATTACTATTTTGTCATGTCTTACTGTCTAACATCTCCTTTCACCCACTTTTCTGTTGTCCATCCCCCAGGGAGGGGTTATATGTAGATCCTTGTGATCAGTTCCCCCTTTCTACCTCACTTTCCCTCCACCATCCCGATATCGCCACTCTGACCACTGGTCCTGAGGGGTTCTTCTGTCCTGGATTCCCTGTGTTTCCAGTTCCTACCCGTACCAGTGTACAACCTCTGGTCTAGCCAGATTTGTAAAGTAGAACTGGGATCATGATAGTGGGGGTGGGGAGGAGGGGCAGGGAAGAAAGTATTAAAGAACTAGAGGAAAGTTGTATGTTTCATCGTTGCTACTCTGCACCCTGACTAGCTAATCTCCTCCCCAGGACCCTTCTGTAAGGGGATGCATAGTTGCCTACAGGTGGGCTTTGGGTCCGGACTCCACACTCCCCCTCATTCACAACGATAAGAGTTTTTGTTCTGGTGCCTGATACCTGATCCCATCGACACCTCGTGATCACACAGGCTGATGTGCTTCTTCCACGTGGGCTTTGTTGCTTCTGAGCTAGATGGCCCGCTTGTTTACCTTCAAACCTTTAAGACCCCACACGCTATATCTTTTGGTAGCTGAACACCATCAGCTTTCTTCACCACATTTGCTTATGCACCCGTTTGTCTTCAGCAGTCATGTCGGGAAGGTGAGCTTCATAGAATGCCAATTTAATAGAAGAATGTGTACTTGCATTAAGGGAGTACTTGAGTGGAGGCCCAATGTCCATCTGCTACCTTAATACTAAACCTATAAATATATGCACATAGACCTATTTCCCTATCGTTATATATAAATATATTCACAGATATACTTGCCTGTATTTAAATCTCTATAAATGTCATTTGCCTCCTAGCTCTTTCCTCTATTCCCTTTTATTTTCCTCTTGTCCCACGATCATGTTCAGCCTTCATTTGGATTTCAGTAATTCCTCTGGGTTACATTGCCCTTGACCAAGCCCTACCAGGCTTCCTATACCCTCCTTGCCACCGATTTTGGATCACTTATTGTTCCTTGTCCCTGTCACTTTCTTTCCCCCACCTCTCCCTCTCCCATGTCCCCCTTGACTGTCAGTCCCATTGCTTTCTCCTCCAGATTGTTTATCCAGCCTATCTTATTTTGATAGACCTGAAGAGATAATATGCACAAAAACAAGACAGAGCGAAACAAAGCAGCAAAAGAAACAAAACAGCAACAATAACAAAAAATGAAAAAACCCTGTAAATAGTTCAAGGTCTGTTTGTTGGCCTTTAGGAGTGTTTTCCGGTTGAGTCCAACGGGGTGCCACACCCTGGCCCCAAAGTCTATTGTTGGTGTTCCCTGGGAACTTTGTTATTCTGCTCCCCTTGTTGTTCTAGTGCATGCCCTTAGTGTTTTGCCTCGGTGTGGTGGGGTCAGATCGGGTGCAAATTCCCACACTGTGTCCCCATAGGGCTATGGGTCAGTGAGGAATGTCATGTCTCACAGTGGGGCTGGTCATGTGGTCTTCTCTGTGGATTGGCTGCTCTGAGCGGGGATATCCTCCAGGCTTAGTGGGCCAGGGTGTGTCCACTCTCTCTTCCTCCCCTTGCATTCGCTCCCGTGCCCTCTTATTGGACGTGTCCCTCTCCCTGAGCTGTAGCTTCAGTGCTGTCCTATGACGTGAATTCTTCTGGGGGGAGGGGCAGCTGTCCATGTAGTTAGGATTGGGGCCAGCCCCTCACAGAGTTTCAAGGTTGGGCGTTTCATCTTCAGGGACAGGCATGGGGGCCCGCAGTACCTAGGGCAGCAGCCCCATGTTCTGAGCCAAGAGCACCCCCACCTTTCGCCACTGAAGAAGCCATCCCTGGTGTGCAGCCCATCTGCCCCTGGGTCTGTTGCCTGAGCTGGCAGCCAGAGGCAGACAGGCAGTGTGGCTGGCCTGTGGTAGCCAGCCGTGGACCCTGGGAGTGTCTATGAGTAGTGGCCGCACAAGACAAGGCCAGTGCCTGAGACCTTTGAAGCTGAGTTTCCTGGGGGCATGGTGCCCTCTGTGGGCAGTCAGGGCCCATTGTCTGGCATGATCTGTTAGGCTCTTATTGGCAACCAGGTTTACTTGATAAGGAAATGCTGCCCTCTATGTATTGAACTTGTCCTGGTGGAGGGAGCTGGGGGAGAAATGGTCACAAGGCTGTTGTGGCAACTTGGTTTTTAACCCCAAGCCTCACTGTCTGTGTGGTGTGCTGTTCACGTCCCTGTCAGGTCTCACTTTCTGGGGTACAGACTCGGGGTATAGACACAGTTCGCATTTTCATCTTCCTTGGCCCGCGTTCTCGTACTGTTTTTACTCAGAATCATGCAAGTGTGAAACACATCCACTGGAAAACTAGATTCCAGAAAGGGTCCGTTTTCTTTGCTAGAACTTCAGTCCCCACCATGCTAGCCCTCGTTGTCTCTTGTGGCATTTCATGGTGACAGGAACTGATGGTCACTCCACTCATCTTCTGGACACAATATGACACATTGGGAGGCTGCTCGTGGACATGTGGGCTCAGGTACTTGCTTCAAAGTTGAACCCGTGGCAGTCTTTCATTCAGCAGGACGGAGCTCCCCCCGCTCTGTCGGTGCATCACCCGGCTCAGCTCGCACGTGGGCACTGGAAGGGGGATTTAGAAAGAGGGCAGGCCTTGCTGGCATCGGGGTGGAAGTATTGGAGACTGAGGCATAGCTTGGGGACGAGCCATGGCTCCTTTTGTTTTGTTGGGGCGGAAGCTGGGAATCTAGAAATGTGCTTTATTGACATTTATTGGCATGCACATTTCGATTTTAAGTCAGGAAAGCACCCACTGCCCACTGGCCACCCGGGGTCAGTGTGTCCACTGGCATGACAATCACTCCTCCTCAAAAAGATGATTTTTGGGGAAAAAACAAACCCACATGCTCTTCAAGGAGAAATGACGTGTATACAGCCAGCAGACTTAGTGGGCCCCGGCAGACTCCCAAGCTGCAGGTGGAGCTGGGAGCCAGCAAGTGGGGCTGAGGTGGCCCACCTGGAGCTTGCTTTGCTTTGTGTTTGAGACCAACCCCTCCCTTTCAAGTCTCTCCTGACTTACAGCAACCCTGTAGGGCATGTGCCCAGGACAGTCTCTTTTCTCATGCAGAGCAGCTGGTGAGTGTGATCTGCCGACTGCCTGGCCTGCAGTAGCACTGGGCCCCCCTGGAAAAGACCAGCCCAGAGGTTAACACAGGGATGCCACAGTATCCCTGTGGTATGTGTGGAAGGTCATGGTCACCTGGGGGCAGGCCAGGTGGGGAAACAGGCAGAGCAGAGGGGCTGGGGGATGCTTGGGGTGAGAGGCAAGAGCATTTAAACCAGGCTGTTGGCAAAGAGGAATCACCTGCTCCCATGAAGAGTGAGTCTCAGAATGCCACAGGGGCAGTTCCACCCTGTCGCTGTGGGTCAGTTGATTTGGTGGCAGTAAGTCTGTTTTTGGAATGGACAGAAGACTGAGTAAACCTGTCTGGACAGACGAACAGGAAGACTGCTCCTTGGACTTTGATGATGAGACATTGCCTCTCGTGGCTTAGCTGTGTTCTCAGAGGCAGACACTCGATGAGATGGCATGACACGTGGCTGCAGCCATGATGTGAGAAGGGCACAGGGCCAGGCCCTGCTTTATTCGGCCATAAGGGGGCTGCTAAGAATCGGAACCAACTAGACACCTACCAGCAACCACAGCAGAGGCGAGACGTGGCCCAGGAGCCTCAGGCAGTCTTCACGCTGCCCAGCACTGGTCAGGTGTCTATTGTGTGCTGGCGTGGAGGCCAGGGCCCTCCCTGTCTCCAGGGCCCCCTTGCAAGGCCGGGCCACAAAGGGACTTGTAGGCTGCACGGTGGGTTGGGGGTGGTCGAATAGCTGTAGCTATAGGAGTGACAGAGTATGATTGAGAAAGTTCATCCCGTGTGCAGTATGGCAAATGGAGTTTAGGTGTTCGGGCCTGGAGCAGGGCCATCCAACTGGCCTCAAGGAATCCCAGTGATGGCAACAGTGTCATTGACTGGCAGGGGCCATAAGGTGGGCACATGTGAAGCCCCTTTGGGAGCTAAGGCAGTAACACTGCCGGCCAGGAGAGGGAGGGGCAGGCAGCTTGATGCCAGGCTCAGGTACCATGAGGTGTGGTAGCCAAAGGAGATGGTGGCTGGCAAGCAGCTGGGCAGGGAAAGCTGGCTTCCCTTTCATGGGCACCAGTGGGCACCCAGGCAGAGAGAGAGGTGGGGCACACCTGGTGTGGGGGGCAGGGGAACCCCAGCTCAGGGCCCAGCCACCTGGACAGTGTGGCTTGGGACAGAGGGGAGCACAGAGCGCGCTGCCTTCAGGGGAGCAGACGCCTCTGTGCTCTTTGTTGCTGGCAAACCCGGGCACAGGCTGGGTGTTTGGCACACACTTGTATTTCATTTGCATCAACAGAGAGCATTTTTTACCAGTTTTTTTAAAATCTCTAATGGTTTAAAATGTAATAAAACACATACATACACACACACATTTTCCCCCCATTGTTAGAATATCAGTCTTTAATTTGCCCTTGTGGGAGTAAAGATAAAAATCTTTAAGTAGAAATTGTTATAAATGTTTATCCTACTTAACAGCCACACTTGTGAATACAATCCATCCATCATCGCTGCAGAAAGCAATTGTGCGC